TCAACAAAAAAACATTGGAATTGTAGTTCTGAAGATGGGAGTAAATATCCCGAAACGTTAACATGTAAACATGTAATTTGGAAAAACAACAAATAAATTCAATTGTTGTTTAATAGGAAGTCATCATTGCCAAAAACAAAGAAAAAAAATCTAATGAAAATGAGTATTATTTCAGATTCTGTAGACAGTTTTTGTACCTAATTCTCAAACATTCTAATAATGATAAAAAACTATAGTGCACGTATATATTTCAATAAGTAAGGCTCCAGCTTCTATATCGTTTTGAAGATATTAATTATACTTTTCCTTTTCTATAGTTTTTAAATGTTTACCTTTATAATTTAACGTCTATTCACACTTGAGTGTGTGCCTCACAGAGGTCAGTATAATGAAAATAAAAATTAACTTTTGATAATTATTCAATGTAGGTATCGGCGTCCCTATCTTTAGCAATATTTCATTTTACCAAAATAATTAGGTAAGTCAACATGATACAATAAGCTTCTTTTTTTTTTTGGAAATCAGACATGTAGCAAGCTTATTGTATCATATTGACTTACCCAATTTTTTTGGAAGAGTAAAATATTGTTGAAGAAACACAATTTACCCGAAAAGTACAATAAATAATTATCATAAGTTAATTTTTATTTTTATTATACTGACATGTGAGGTGTGAATACTTAAATGTGAATAGACTATTACACTTTTCACAGGAAACATTTTTTTTTTTTAAATAAAAGTGAAATATTACTATTTTGTTCGGTATAGAAAATGGAGATAAAGCACCGAGGAAATATGTTATTCTATTATAAGATATATTAGGTCAACTAAGATTAAAAATTAAACGTTTTTATGGTTAAAAAGTTAGTTGGGATTCTTAGTCAATGAGAAACTAAAATAAAAATAAATAAAAAACTTTTTTTATGCTGTGCTGACGTTTAGGCATTCATTAAGGCTCATACACTTACTGAGTGTGATGAAGTGATATGTTATTTTTGGAAGCCTGAAACTTATGTGATATGTGTGTAAACGTCGGCGCTATATAAAATAAGTTTTTTTTTCTTTGACTAACTCCTCAAGTCTACAGTCAAATATTTCTTCGCCGTGATAAGCGGTTTTTAAATTTTGTACAGCTCAGAAGAAGTAAAAATTATATGCAAATTTGTACTTAACCCTTTATGATTTTCCATAGATGTAAAATTAAATAAGTTAAAGTCGCACATCTTTCGGTTCCATTATAATTTTTTTCTACTATTTAAAAAGAAAATATTACAATTGTTTTATTTTAAATATATGATTCGATACAGAGATTGCAGATTCAACTTGGAGACAAAAATTATTTTTGATTTCACATATTAAAATAGGTCGGTTGAGCATCAATTATTCCTGTTTTTTTAGGTTATAAAGCTTCAAACTATGTTTATATATATATATATATATATATATATATATATATAAAGAATATTGTTAACCTTATAATATCATTTAATTAGGAAAACAATTTGTTCAAAACAAAAAAACAAAATAGTATAAAATAAATCATCAATAAATGTAATTTTTTTTAGAATCAATAACCATAAATCAGTAATAAAATAAACACCACAAAATTATTTGTGTGTGTGATATCTATGGTCTTCAAATTTTTGAAATATCATTAGCTTTTATAAATGTTTCATTTTTTTAGTCAAAAAAATTTACGCGTTGCCATGAATAATAACAATAAATAAATGACAGTTAATAATTGCAAGTGAAGTGCTGTTAACAAAAACAACAGATGTTACCAACGTCTATGAGTCAATTGTCAAATCAATTTATATATAAGCCACTCTTAGATTTTCACTATATTTGGCGAATAAACATTGCAAATACCACATTGGATATATTTACATACACATGCATGTAAAGAAAATACCCCAAGATCAAAGTAAACAGTTTTCGATATGAGATTATACAAACAAGGGATCGATGGTAAAAATGATGTATGACGAATGACACACATAACGGTGGCCATATCCTGTAAAAAATATATATTGAACCAGTGGCAGTGAAGTGGAGATTCTTTCGACGTTACTGCATTTGAATAACAGTTAAATTGAAGAACAGTTATGAAAAAAAAATCAAAAGAACTGCAGGAACAACTATTCAATCAAAAACAATTTAGATTATAAATTTGGTACAGTCTGTTTATGTTTTCATTGATCAACATTACCAATATGTCGAACTGGCTATGCTAAATTTTTAAAAAGAATAATTATCGTTGTAATAGTTTAAATAGGATAACGAATCTAGTATACATTAGTTATCAGAATATTTCTTTTTTTCTGGGAAGTTGTCAATTTATTTTAGTTTTTTGGCAATAATAACTTCCAGTTGTTAACAATTGAGTATATTTTACTAACAACGTTACATGTTAACAAGTTAGTTGACGTTTCGGGACCTTTATTCCCATCTTCAGAACTGCAAATCCAGGCTTTATTATTATTATTATTATTAAAATTAAGCCTTGCATCCACAAGAGTATTGGAATTGCAGTTCTGAAGATGGGAATAAAGGTCCCGAAACGTCAACTAACTTGTTAACATGTAACGTTGTTAGTAAAATATACTCAATTGTTAACAACTGGAAGTTATTATTGCCAAACAACCAGAATATTTCATTTAATTGAGGTCTAATAACGAACATTTTACATTTTAACCAAACAACATCTCTAAATAATTAAAATTAAGCTAATTTATAATAAATGAATAATGAGTCATTATGTATTCCGTGTCAATTATTTAATCAAGAGGAAGCCGACATTAACACCTATCTCTAAATAATTAAAACTAATCGGCTTTATGTTTTGAATCAGCAATTTGGAACCATATAACATTTGCTATTCAATGTCAATTATGTTGAGGGGCTGTAAATATAAATGCAACGAAAGCGAATCAGAATTCGAGACGGATAAAGTTGCTTGCTGTACATTAAATGTTCACGGTTTTGATTTTATGAACATCCTATTAGCAGTTATGAGATGGAAACGTTCCTTAATTAACTGACTGTATCGTGATCACAACAACCTAATGGCTATAGTTTCTTAAATAATATATACGCTCATTAGTAATGTATGGTTTAACGAATCTAACTATAATCTTCATAAAATGTTGAATATCAATCATGAAAAACTAACTATGCCGTCATGATAATTTGGTGGGGGGGGAGAAGAAGAGAAAGAGAGCGCAATCGCCTCCCCAATACAAATAAAAAGAGATGAAAATATCGTTTTGCTCTCCCTCCTATATTTATAAGAACAAAAATAAAATAAATCAAAATCAATAACAATTATTGTAAAATATGTAAACTAAAATCAATTTAAAACATATTGATATTTTTGTTTATATTCAAAGATAAATTATATAGCATAGTTTATAGTTTATATTGTACATATACTTTTGTTGATTATCACTCATAATTATTATATACAATATAAACCCCCGAGATATATTTTTGGAGTGGGGAGTTCATCGGTTCCTCCTTCCCCCCAAACTAGTATGGAAAGTCTGAGCGTATGGTTGTGATTTTTTTTTTTTTTTACAATCTGTATTTAGTTAGAATTCTATATACTAATTCAATAAACAGATCATCATTCCCTAGTTTGTTATTTAAAACTTGAGAATTATGATATGTTTATTGAATTAGTATATAGAATTTTAATTAAATACAGATTGTAAACAAAAAAAATCACAACCATAGGCTCATACTTTCCATTGTAGTTTGGGGGGGGGGACCGATGGACTCAATAAAATACATATTATATTATATCAGAGGTTTGTATTGTGTATAATAGTTATGAGTGATGATTAAAATAATTATTGTAAAACGAATGGTCTACGTCTAAGAGCCTCTGGTCGAGATGTTTTTTTTTACAATCAGTATTTAATTAGAATACTAATTCATTACACAAATCATGATTCCCAAGTTTTAAATAATAAACTTGGGAATTATGATTTTAAGTTAATTGAAACTGATCAAATAAAATTGCTGTAAAAAATTGTTGTTCAACATACTTCTAAAGAGTAAGATTAAGTAAGTAAAGAGTAATAAGATTTATGTGATAGAAAAATGTTAACTAAAAAAAGATAAACAGTTGCATATGATATGATAAAACTAATTCGGAAAAAAGAGGAAATTCCTCCAATTTATTATTATTTATTTATGACAAATTATTGATATGAAATGTCTAATAACTAACTATTTACTAATATACGAATTATACAATGTAAGATAAGAAGGTTGATATACATAAATGACATAGAATAACAAACTAAATAAAAATAAAGCAAAGGAAACAATGATGGTTATAAATGTTATTTCATGAATAATGGAATAAATAAAACAGTATTATTACTGTACGGGAACGACAAGATAATTATTAACTGAAGTAGACTTTTATAATTCACCTTCTTAATTTCAAATGTTGCTTTCCTAATTTCATGTGTATTTAATATAAGTAAATTAAAGTTTATGTGTATGTATTACCAACACAAATTAAGTATAAAGTGTAAGAATTTAACTTAATGGTATCGGTTGTCTCAAGGTTGCGAATGCACGCACATACCAGAATTCATGCACTCCAATGTCCTTGTATGTATGTCCTCGAGGACTTGGTCTAAAGTATTCTATTTCTGATTCCAAATAAAATGATAATTGTTATTCTACATGCACCGATTTTAATATATTTTTGTAATTCAATATTAAAGTTTCCTCTGAGTTTTTAGTGTTTGGAAGAATTTAAATAGAGTAAATAATACTAAAATATCTTTTATTATTTATGTCAAAAATAACAAACAATGGATTTACGAAAAATTAAATAAATAAAAGTTATTAAATCTTATAAAATAATAATATGTACCTAATTTATACTTATCAAAATTATTTGGTTAGTGAAAATTCTAGGCGTCAAACGTTTATGGACTAATTAATTGTAAATTAATTAAAAATTAAAATCAATTATTTACCACAACAAACTGCAGGCAACAAAGATTACGAAGTTAACAAACGAAACCAATAACAGAAACCAACACACCTTCCACTAGCTTTATTCTGACTGGTGGAAGCTGCGATCTTCCTGGGGTGGGAGTCCGAGCGGGCCCAACGCCATCTAGCCACTGCACTTAAAACTATGTACATTACTGGCGATGCTTCTACTTTTCCGGCTACGTTGAGTGGTGTACTTGGGAGCAGGGGAAGAATAGAAGAGGGAAAATTCATCCCTGGCAAGACTCACAGGAGATGTTTTTTTTTTAATTGGATAAAATATATATCGAAAGAACAAAAAACATTTTCTTTAAAGTGAAACTAAAACTGGTTTGATGTTAGTGGTAATTTTCTTTCTGTGAATTTATTTAATTATTCGTATTTACGAGCAACAAATAACTTGAATTAACAGGCCTTATCATAAAACACGGATGAACAAACATATTTATTCACTTGATTTATTTTCAGTAATGCCTCACAATATATTTATATTCAATTGGATAATTATTCAACTGAATATTAAAAACAATAAACATAATGATAGAAATAGATAAAGCCCACGAATGAATACATTTTCAATTTGAAATAAAATTGAAAAAAAAAAATTGTTTGTTTGAGGTCTTCAAAAAAGGGCCCAACATCGGACCTGGTAGCTAAGTCAAAATTAATTTAATAACTGTGTTTCACTTTACTAGAATTAGAGGAGCAAGAAAATTTAAACTAAAAATAGCTTACAAATTGCCTCGTCTTAATACGTTATCGAGAAATGCTATTAAGTGTTTACATTGATTGAAGCTGAAAAAAGAAATATGTCCTATGTTCGATTTTTTTTAAACCTTCCTTTTTTATATTAAAGATAGAGAAAAAAAATTAATATATTTATAAATTATTTGTACATATACTTTCCATAGTGTAATATTTTGTAGCTTAAATGACTTCTTTAAGTATTCTAGTGGAACTTCTAATAACTTTCGTCATACCTCGTGTTACTTCCACACAATTACGCTAAAAAGAGTATACTGGAGAGACGAACATGTCCATTACCAAAGTGGACAAATGGAAGATAAATAATGCTATAAAACTGGATCCAAATAACAGCTATGAATAAAAATTTGTTTTCTGAAATATTAGCCATGCATTACCTTGGAATAACTAGAGATGTTTTATTCATTTAGCGGAAATCGCTACTTTCAGCTATAATGTGATATGTTCCTCCAACACAATAAAAAATGAAAAGTGGTGAATTATTTTTTTCTAATATATAAAGCATTTACTAGTAGATGTCCGAAAGGATTGTTTTCCAAAATGAATCATTTTAATTGTTTTTATTTTTTGAATAACAAGCCATTTATAAACTGTCAAGCTATTCAGACTTTTCCAAAACCCTATATACACAAATGAAATCTGATTGATAAGTGTGGATACAGTAAACTGTAATTCCTTTCATTTCAGTTAGAAGTTTCTACTTCTACAGATCTTGAGAAAACATTATCCCTGTCTAGTTCTCACGCTGCAAACCTGAATTGACTTACAATAACTTTATCAAGCTATCAAAAGCAGATCGAACTAATTTATTCCAAACAAAATAGCACCTAATCTATCGACGGTCTCAATGTGAAACTGTACGAAATGTTTTGATGGTAGATTATGTTATTAATTTATTTTTGTCTAAATTATACGAACATAAATCAATTGAATTTGTCAATCAATCAATAAATCAATATTTGGTCATATGAAAAAGCGTGATAAAAAATTATTGGAAAAATGAATTATTACTACACATAAACTTATTAGATGATATATTTTTATCAGAACTTTGTTGATAAAGGTATCATTTCACGATACACGCCTGGAAAAAGTTGATAAGTTATAGAAAATTATAATGATTACTTATTGCATTTACCAATAGACAAGTTTTCTTTTTATAAGTGATGTCACTAACAATTTACATAAATAAATACCGAGACATACTCCACACGGCTAAACGATAATATCTCGTAGTGGATATGTATTATAATTTTGGAGATGTAATATTTTAGAAAACAAAATGTGTTCAGCCAGTAAAAATAAAAGGGTAATGAAAAATTGATATTTAGAAATTAAAAAACATTAGATGAATTTAGGAGTTTTAGTACAAAGAAAATTGTAGCATTAAAAAAAAAAAACGGAAACAGAACTAAAAATTCAAGACCTAAATATAAATCTTTCAAAGGAATTTAATGATAGTTTGAGCGAGGAATAGAGTAGTGAACTTAATAGACAACTAAATATATTAATTAGGAACATGGATAGATTTACAAAAATATTAAAGAGGATTTTGAAAAAAATAATAGGTAATTTAAAATCCATGATCTTGAAAAATGGAAAATCAAAATAAATAGTGATAAATTCACCCATGTTAATTTCTCTCTTAGGAAAGCCTCATGTCCCCCCATCACGATTGCCAATAACCCACTGCCTTCAAAGAACTATGTACGGTACCTTGGACTCTACTTAGACCAAAGACTTACTTGGAACATACATACGAAATTGAAAAGACAAGAACTTACAAGACGATATAGCCGACAGATCTTCACTTAACTTACAAAACAACTGATCTACAACACCTTACTGAGACCAATATGGAGATATGGAGCAGAACTCTGGGTTCGGCAAAACAAACACATTTAAACAAAATACAAAAAGCACAATCGAAAATTCTACGAAATATTGTTAACGCACCTTGGTACATTTCAAATAATAGATAGATAGATAGATAGATAGAAAAATAATTTTATTCTGGGACACAGTCCCTTGAGAATAACAAAATAGAACAAATTAAAAGATCACATCTGGCCAAAATAAAATCAATCGAAAAAAAGAAATAATGTAAAAAAAATATAAGGTAAACATTCTATATAAAAAAAAAACGAAACTATATACAAAACAATTAATACTATAACAAGGCACTTAAAGCTATTTGCACTAGTATACACTTTTAAGAAAATAATAAAGAATTAAAAAATAAAAATGTATCAATGAATCAATCAATGAATTTTTATGTATCAAATTCTCTATTAAAATCAGCTCGAATGGTTAGCAACTATCTGACTGTTCTTGGGATAGGAATTGGAATAGGAGGATTTTGAATTTGGATATGGATGGGGAATGTCGAATTTTGATAGGGAGGGAATTCCAGAAATTGACAGAGCGAACAACAAAGGAATTTTGGAATGAGGCAGATCTGTGAGAAGGCATGTAAAGATTAGAAGGTCGAGATCTTGTGGACAGGGAATGGACTGAGGATTTGAACTGGAGAAGATTGTAGGCGTAAGAAGGACGATGACTGTTGATGATTTGGTAGAGGAACGTACCTAGGAAATATTGTCTTCGGAAGGAGGGGAAAAGCCACTTTAACTCAGCATAGTGGTGAGAAACATGGGAGTATCTTGGGGCCCCGATCACAAATCTTACACAGCTGTTCATTAGTCTTTTCAGTCTATCACGGAGCTCCACAGAGAGGCCATCATACACCACACAGCTATAGTCAAAGTGGGGGAAAATGAGAGAGGAAACTAGGAGTCTACGCGTATGTTGAGGTAGGAGATGGCGGAAGCGATGGAATAGTTTGAGGGTGGAAATTGTCCGTCGAGAGATATGAGAAATATGGTGATTCCAAAGGAGGTTTTGATCAATGAAAAATCCTAAGTTTTTAACAGAGGAGTAGAAGGAGATTGGCTGGTCATTAAGGTGAAGGATGGGAAAGTCTGGATGGGATCTAAGAAGGGGCTTGGAAGCAATGACAATGGCCTGAGTTTTGGCGGCATTTAACCTTAATCCATTTACATTTGCCCAGGCACTGATTCGATCTAGGTCTTCTTGGATCTTGGCAAATGCCCCCAGTAACTCAGGAGGGGAAAATGATAGGTAGATCTGTGAATCGTCTGCATAAAGGTGATGGGAACAATGGAGAATTGATTTAGGTAGGTCGTTAATGTAGGAGCTGAAAAGGAGAGGAGATATGCTTGAACCCTGGGCAACTCCAGAGGATAAAGAAAGGAAGGCAGATAGTGGTTGGTTGGGTATGGAGACTGCTTGGGTACGTTGTGAGAGGAAAGATTGAAACCAAGAGATGGAACTATTGGAGAAGGATAATAATTTCAGTTTGTTGAAAAGGATGGAATGGTTAATGGAATCGAAGGCTTTGGAGAAGTCGAGAAGGATAAGGATGGTTAACTTTTTATCATCTATTGCAGTTTGAATGTCGTTGGTGATTTTAATTAAGGCGGATTGTGTGGAGTAGCTGGGACGGAAACCAGATTGGAGAGGATCAAGTTGGTTGGACTTTTCAAGGAAGTTGGAGACTTGGGATTGCACCAATCTTTCTAGGGGTTTCGAGAGGTTGGAAAGAATTGAGATTGGGCGGAAATCTTCGGGTGAGGTCGGATTAGAATTTTTATTTAAAGGAAGGACAATGGCTTGTTTCCAAGATGTAGGGAATACTGAATTCTGAAGGGAGAAATTGTAGATGAAAAGAAGGACTGGGAGGATTTCAGGAAGACATAATTTTATTAGTTTGACAGGGATGCCGTCCGGTCCTATGGAATTGGTGTGGGATTTCATTACAGCGGTTAAAAGGTCTGTAGGGGAAATGTCGGAAAAATAAAAGTTATTGTCGTTGAATGGTATCTCTATTGGGAAGTCGGAACAGGAGGATAAAGGAGAGGTATTAGCAACAGATATAAAATGCGAGTTTAGATCATCAGAGGATATTGGAAAGGCTGGAGTAGGGGATCGGGAAGGATCACAAAGGGAGAGTTTACGAAGCAGTCGCCATTTTGATTTTATGTCAGGAGTTGAGGAAAGGGCTTCGTGGAAGTAGAGGGACTTCGCAAGCCGGATCCTTGTTTGTGTCAAGTTGCGAAGCACCCTGAACGCTTGGTACTCATCTGCAAGCCTAGTACGTCTGAAGCGTCTACGAGCAGCGTCGCGCCTCTTCTGCAGGTCTTTAATTTCCTGACACATCCAAGGAGCAGGCCGGTGACGAAATGTAGAGGTTTTGAGAGGGGCATGGGTATTG